GGAACTTCCATTAGCTGAAGGTTCTCATGCAAACAATGGACATACATCTTTTTGGACAAGGAACAATGAGAACAAACTAAGTTAACTTCTTGAAGTCCTTTCTCCTTATTCTCCTTATTCTCCTTATTATTCTATCCTTCCAAATTCAAGGCCAGAGACACATGTGGAAAAGCAGCAAAATAATTCTCTTTGAAGACAGCATGAAGGTTGCCTGATTCAGGAAGCAAAGGCAGTGGAAGAGAGATGCTCATTTTACTTCCATATAGCATGGACTCACACAGGTAATTTACTTGCTAAAGCCAGCACACAATTTCTTCACTTACACAACTGTTACATTTACTTGCAAATTTAGAGAAGAAAATGTCAAAAGGTGATTATCCATTGCAATGAACAGAAACACCTACATTTCTTTTACTACCACTCAAAAGAAGTATGTGTGTGGGAACACAGTTTACTTAATTCTTAGAAGTCACAGCAGGACTGTGGCTGTCCACAAATTATATCTGACTTACTGAAAAAAGTTCTCAAACTTTGGAACACATTAAATATAATTTAAAATTATATTAACAAAGACTGCCTGTACCATAGATTGTAAGCCTAAAACACATGCAGTGCAACTACCAGCTTCTATTTTCCTATCACCTGGCAGAAATTTGAACTATAAAACAGTAAGTTCCCAATAGTTGTTGAAAGCTATGCAATTGTTCTCAGGTTTCCTATCAACAGAACTAAGCTTGCTCACATAGTTTAGCCAGCAGTCAATGAATAGATCTTTATTCTATCTCTGGAGGAAAAGGCCAAGTCCATGTTGAATTTTCTTGTACCAAATCTTAATTAAATACTACATGCAAGAACAGAGCAACACTGAAACCTTCCTAAAAATGCTTGAAAAGACAGCTACCAACTAAAAAAAAGCCCAGGGCTCTGTCCAGGAAACATGCTGTTTGGAGCCAGCACTTACAGTTCTCTTGATTTTGGCCTATAATTCACGAGCTTTTCCCTTTCTAAAAGTGAAAATTTCTGAGGTCAAAAGATGAAAAGCCATTTTGAAAAAAGCTTTGTCAGATTCCTATCCTAAATGTTAACCTTGCATGGGTCCACTTTCCATCACATCAAAGGCTTCCCAGCCCCCCAGTTAGAAACACTAAGCATATCGACTTTGAAACACTTCACATCATTTCACTATAGCCCTTGAAGAAAAAATGGTTTTCCTCTAATTTTCTAGCTCTTCTAGTAATTTATTTGCCATGGCAGTATTGAAGCTTACAGTGGTCTGAATGTCTGGAGTACTTCTTTTTTGGAGAGGTTTGGTAGAAAACTAAGCATTTTCATCTCCCTAGAAGCTCTCTCCATAGTTATTATTCCATCCATGGGTTGAAAGGTTAACCATTTAAAACAGAGGAGGTTTATGTCTTATAACAGTTGATAACATTTTAAAAAAGGATGACAAGTTTGTGGGATCTATAGGCTGGAGTGAGTTTATTGGTGGGTAATTTTACAGATAAAACTGTTCCTTAGAAGTTCAATAGAATTGAAATATCTCCCAAGAGGATGGGATTATAATGTCTTACCTTTTTTTTCCAAAGAACTACAGAAGAGCACCAAATGAAAAGCTGAGGGACAAAGCTGAGCACGGTTACAACATAAATGCTCAGCAAAGGGCAAGATATCTTGTGGATCTATGTCTTTAGTGCTTAATATGAGGGACTAGTGAAAGGCTAAAGTAACCCTTGTAACCTTCTCCATATATAATGAAATGCAATTCTATGATTGCATTGAAGAATCCAATTACTTGGGACTTTATAAAAAATGAGGCAACAGGAGTCTCAGTAAATTCAACAAAGGCAATGCAGAGTCCTGCAGGTTGGGATTAATAACCCAGTAGAAGCTGGGGATTAACCAGCTGGAAAGCAGCCTTGCAGAAAAAGGCCTGAAATCCTGGTAGAGAGCAAATTAGACATGAGTCAGCAACGTTCCTTTGCAGCAAAGATGGCTAACAGTATCCTAGGGTGTGTTAGGAAAAGTGAGTACAGGTTAAGTGAAGTGATCCTTCCCCTGTCAGCCCTGGTCATGGCCACACCTGGAGTGCTGGGTCCTGTTCTGTGCTTCCCAGTAAAAGGCAGACATGGACAAACTGGAACAAGTATGCAAAGGTGCATAAAGATGGTAAAGGACTGGAGCATCTATCATATGAGAATGCTGGGAAAGCTGGGACTGGTCACCTTAGAGAAGGCTCATGGAAGGATCTCATCAATGTGTATAAACAACCTAATGAAAGGAGGAAAGAAGATAGAGGCAAGCCCTTTTGAGTGGTATCTAGTGAAGTGCAAGAGGAAACCAGCACATATTCAATGCAAGAAATATTAAAATATATTAATATTTAAGAAAAATGTTTTTCACAGCAAGGGTAGTTGAACATGGAACAGGTTGCCCAGAGAGGCTGTAGAATCTCCATCCTTGGAGATATTCAAAACCTGACTGAACATAGTCCTGAGCACTCTGTTGGTCCTGTCTGAAAGAGGCAGTTGGACTAGACAGTCTCCTGACATTGCTGTCAACATCTCAAATATTCTGTGATTCTGTCTAAAACCAGGTTAATCTTCATAAGTACTATCTTCTACCTTAATCCTATATGGTGAAAATCTTAAGTATGGAAGGTAAGGAGACCTGTGGCAACTTTACAGAAGTACCACTAAGAAGCTTCAACTGAATACAATGCATTCAGGTTATGTAAAACTTTTGTAGCATAACAGTAATTAGAAAAGCTCAATTATGGTCTTTACAAATATCCATGTAAAGACATTTGTAATTATTTCTTAAACTAAAATAAATAACTTCAAAATACATCAACATGACCCTGCTTCTAGCATCTAAATAAGAATGAATTATCTATTTTTAAAATATGAAAAATCTGCATTGCTAGAAGTTGAATACCCACCCACTTCTATTCACTGAAAACCCAATTATTAAAAAGGTGTGTGTAGGAAGCCATTCCAGTTGAATACCTTACCACCATGAAACCAAACCAAATTCAAGGCAATCATTTACTCTCTAGTTACTGATGTCCTCTACAGCAGAACCCTTTGCCTCCCCCGACACAGATTATACTAAACATCAGTGCACTGAATAATACAGGAAATTAACAAGGAACTTGTGGCAAACCATTTAAGATGTAAATGCTTTAAAACAGTCAAAATCTCAAGTTAAATTTAGTCAGTAGAGGTGGCATGCATCCTTATAAGTTAGGTCATGACTCTTAACTAGTGGTCAAACACACTGTACAGGACTGTTTCTGAGAGAAGTCCACCCCTCTTCCTCTAAGTCCTCTAACCCTAAGAATGCATCCCTAAATGGAGAACTTAAAAAGATTAACAATAAGTGGACAAAAACGTTGGTGCTTTGTGGCTTTGAAAAGTTCCCTGTTAAAGAAAAGTAGTTTTAACTTACAAGGAAGCACACCAGCTAAGTGAAACAAAATTTGTGCTCCTAAAACCAGGTAATTTTAAAATCTAAAATGAGTAACTGTGGATTTAGAAACCCAAAGTACAGACATGCAAATATTTTGAACTTTTTTTTTTTTTTTAGAACAAGCTTTTCATCATTCCTAAATCAGAGAATCTTGGTGAATAATGCTATCCCAGTGCTATTTTGGTACAGAAACAATGAATCACCTCTATTACTCAACATATCCATTCTTAAGAATGCTGGATTACCCTGATTTGTACCAGCACTGGTGTTCTGGCATGAGGGTCTAGCAGAATTATGCAGCAGTTGTACCATAAACATGAGAATTTTCTGGAACACCAATAGGACTCCTGCTGCTCAGTTCCACATAACAATTTCTGGACACTTACCACCTAATGGAATGTAGTTTCTGAAACTCATCTTAAATAAAAAGTAGCAGCTACCACACTGGAAAAGTCTTCTAAGTCTATCTTTGTGGAAAATATCAATGTGGAGGAAAAATGAAAAGGTATCTGGGAACTTGCTACCAAATTTCAAGTAAAAATGGAAGTTGTTTTGTTTCATAATTTTGATAGTCTCTCCTAGTAATTCTAGTTCAGATGTGTTGTGCCCCTCCTCTCTTCTAAAGCTTAGGGTCCCTAGACTGTTCTCTCCTAGCACATGCCAGACATCATGCAGGGCAACACTGATACCCCTCCTAATGACATGGCATGAGAAACAAGTGCTAGATGAAAAACTGTCCAACAATGAGAGATAGGAGATGTACAAGCTGTATTTTTATTAAGGGGTTTATGCCTTATTTGACTTCTCATGAAAATACAAAGAATAGTTCTTTAAATGTAAAAATGTACACTTAAAAATATTTTAACGAGTCTCTGTCAGCACCTTGAATGCACCTAGAGGAACTGCTAATGCTTTTCCCTCCAACCCCTGAATTTGGTGGGGACTTCAAGGCAAGATCTGGCACTGTGCAGCTGTGAAACCTTGGGTAAGACCGTGATGAAAATGTGCAAGAGTTAGGAGAACCCTTGTTAAGCACCTTTTCCCTTCATTTGGGAGCTATACTAGACTGAATTTAAGGTCAAGTCATATTACTGATATGCCTGTATCCTGCCATGTACCTCACAGATCTTGAACTTACAGATTTCACTCCCTGGCTTGACTTAGGATCTGGCTCGTGAGTACAGATGCACTTGGAGGTCTGAACTCTTGGCTTGACCCTCTTTACTGTCATTGTACCTGCTCTGTTCTCTTTGTTCAGGTATTGTGGGACTTCATGGATGATGCCACTGCCCCCCTGCCTTCTTTGCTGTCAACTCCCAGCTCAGCTCAGTTGTGGAGAAGCTCACTTTTCCTTCTCCTTAAGTGTCAAATTCAGTTGTCAAACGAAGAGGAAAAAAAAGCAAATGACTTTTCAGACAGCACTTGATGAAAGGTGGGTGGTTCTTTCTACCAAAGTTGCTATTAATTCAGCCCAAAAAGTTTTAGACAAACATGGTATGTTCATATGTGTAAGTATAAAGATCAGTACTCACGCAGAAGTTGTCTGCATATCATGCCAGCTTTTGCTAAAGTTCTGCTTCAGTTCATTCATCAGACTTATGCCAAGTTTTTGTTTAATTTCAACCAGGTGCTTCTCTTTGGCTGCTAGCACTTGCCGCAAAGTTGAAATTTCATCCTCTAGCTGAGGGAAACAAGGAGAAAGGTATTAGCTCGTTCCCATAGAATGATAAACACATACAATGTTAAGAGGCTAAATGAATCTCACAAACTTGTGCTTTTCATAGGTAGCTAGAGAGAGAGAGAGTCAAGTACTTGTGGAGGTCACAAAGGTATGCCCAGAGCAGAGCAGCCTCTGTGTCACCTATGTTCACCATCACATGCATCTGATAAGTGAGAGAATTATCCAGCAAGGGAGTGACTTCATCCAAATCTGCCTTACGGCATTAGGAGTCTTAAACACCAGCTTTTCATTCACTAGTAAAATGGGAATGGACAGGATGAGGGAAGACTGGAAAATTCAAGCAAATATCTTTCTTTGAATGCACAGGCTTTTAACTTCATATTTGCAGAGTTTTGGTCTTCTGGTCCTGAAAATAACATATGCAAGCTCTTAGGAGCAGGTTAAAAAAAATAGAAAAAAAATGCATGATAATATATGACTTGAGAATACCATCAAATGTTATATCCTTGTCATATGAGTTTTATTTATGTATTTTAGGCCCTACATATTTCAAAATTGTAACATAAAAGTTTATAGTTGAACTATTAATATGAGTGATCAGTAGTCAAAGCATAAAAGCACTCAGAAGACGGAGCAGATTAGTCTTTCTAAAGATCCTAGTATTTAACCAAACTCTGCATTTTCAAGCTGTAAAGATGCTATCCAGCCCAAACAGAGGAATATAATTCTCCGTGCAGTAGACATTTTTTTGAAGCATTTAATCAAAGCCAGTGTTTTATCAAGGCAAGAACCAGAAGACAGGACTATAAGAAGAGGGACTCCAGAACTGTCCTGCCACTGACTAAGAATTCTGCTCCTTGGGCAGCACTCCTGCAAGTGAGCAGGCATTTGCATTCTTCACCTGGAAGCCTCCCAAGCCAATCTATACAAGCAGCACACAGAGATACTGAAGCTAACAAGGGCAAGTGACACCAGAGCAGCTGCCTTTCACTTCAGGTTTAGAAATTCCCTTACCAACTGTGTTCCTTCCTCCATATGTTAGTAAGGTAACATATGGCAACTTATCTGATTACCATATGTTAAGTTCCCTGGAACCACAGTCTCCTTGTGATTTAACTCCATAGGCTGCAGGGAATGATGCAAGCACTAGCTGAAACAGTGCTGACCTCCAAGGCTATATTTAGAACACCAGTACCAGCATTATTTTAATTTACACAGTCATTCATTCTGGTTCACTGTAAAATTGGCTGCAAGCTCACTTTTCTTGTAAAAGTCTCATCCTTGAATCCCCCAGCTACCAGTTTCTTTTGTCATTACCTGCAATCTAAATATTCAAGCAGCTTAAAAATTAAGCAGCAAGACTATGAACACAAAGCAAAATCATAACCTGAGTGAAGCAGATACTAGTATTCACCAATGTGTGTGATGCCAACACTTCACCAGAACTGTTGTCAGATACACAACAATCCAAATGGCTTTATTCCTTCCCACGTCCTTTACACTCCACTATATTCCTAACCTGCAAATGGAATACTATCAAGAGGCTGGTGTCAAGAGTCTCTCTTCTGAGAGGGTAACTGGTTAAATGCCTATAGAAAGAAAGCACAAATGTCAGCATTCCTCAGGCAGCAGTTCAGAGCTCCTTTTGGCTGTTCCTCACCAAGAGCAACCCCCTTAGTGCACGACTGCCTGTGCAACATCACTAAAGAACTTAAACTGATGACACGACCATGACACTTATGAGCCAGCACTAGGCTGATCATCAAGTACTTGGATACATAAACATTTCAGGGCTTCTATTAAAATTACTTCCCATCTATCTGTTCCATTGAATAGATATCTTAAAGCTGTGATAGCCTAAGCAAGCATTAGCCATGTGATCAATGGCAGAAGTATGAGCAACATTTTTGATTAAAGAAAAGTAATTTATTATTTATAACACAGCAATCAGTTTTGAATTGACAAAATCCTCCTCAACGTCCATCATTTTGAAATAATGACAGATACAAAGCCGCCCTCAAGTGCTCAAATATCAGTGACAACTCTGAAGTAGGTAGAAAGGATTAGGGACCTACAGTAGGATCTTGAAAAGCATTTAAGCATGTAACATACCTAAATCTCATGGAAGTCAGGCATCACCTGTTTAGGAATTTTTTAAAAGTCCACTTTTGTTAATGTTTATAACGCCATCATAAAACTAGGACTTAAGTCAATAGAAATACAAGCTTCTAGCTCTCACGCTTCCCTTCTTTCAAAGTCCAACAGAGTCAGAAGAATATAGATGCATCATGTAGAGGCAAAGTTCCCTTCTCCCAAAAGTTTGCCGGAAAAGGTATTATCACCATCTTTCCTCAAACTGGGAACAAACATGCAGTAACACACACTGCTGAACCTGTGCATCAGCTAGATCAAACCAGATAGCTCCTTCTGGGAAGGTGTGGGAGGGGGAAGACACCAAAGAGTAAATGACTGCTTTGATGAGTGTAATGGAAGGACAACTGACAGCAGTGAGCAAGGTAGCTCAAAATCTCAGCCCCCAGCATGACTCAAGAGTCATTGTACAATGCTCCTCACAGTGAGGGGGGCGGGGGAATCTGTTCTGCTAACAATCTTCTGGCCTTATGTAAAGCTTTTGGGCTACAATTTTCTGCTGTTATTCTGAAAAGTCAGACTGACCTCTGTAAATTCAAATGACTGTTAGAAGTTTCAGTAAGAGTTACTCATTTTAGTTGCATTGTAGAAATCCTAAGGCTTGATTAGAGTCAGAGCCCTGCTGTGTTAGCTAGGCTACAAATACAAGAACACAGTAAGTCCATGCCCTGAGAAGCTCACAGTAAAAAGAGACCATTAGCAAGAGAATAGAAATAGAGGATACAAAAAAATCCTGCCAGAAAAACAGTAGTGCTTGTTCCTCTCCTAATGTCAGAGTGGGAAGGAAGAAGAAAACAAAGAAAAATACATTAGATACTCAACACAGAGATGGAACATATATTTTCTGCTTAAATAAATGCACAACAGGTGCTCACAAAGAGATCCCCATTTTATCAACTATTGAGAGCAGAATTAAGGATGATTTTTACTTCTCCCAACAGAAAGAGAGGTGCTTGTTCATACAGGCTCAAACAGGTACTATGCAGCATGTAAGGACATTGAAGAAAACAAAAAAGAAACAAAAAATCATAGTGGAGCAGTAAGGACTTGCAAGTAAAGTCTAACAGCTTTTCAAAAGGAAACATTACCCAATTCCCACATATTTTTCTTTCTGAAGGAGGCAAGATCACATGCTTTTTGGAGTCTAAGAGTCATAAGCCTCATTTAACTTTAGACTTTATTCACTCTACATTCAAGTTTTCCAAATCTTTCTTAGCATAATTATCAGTTTTATTTTGCTTTTAAGCATCAGCTGCATGCCAGTGAACTGCTGTGAGGAATTCAGAAAATAATTCCTAGGTCAGTCAAGATCTTAATATTTGACAGGCAATCTCTCACTTGCATGTTAGTACAGGAATTAAAGCATTTCCAGCATGACTGACCAACAATTCTCTCTCCTACGGCAATCAGTAAGCAGAAGGGACACCCAGAAACATTTGAGATTAATTACGTTGAGAAAGGCATATCATTCTCAGACGACTGCAGGAAGTTCTGCCTCTTTTCCTGCCTTGCTTCTATCTGCCTGTGAAGTCCCCTTCACCAGCGAAGAGAATCACAGAATGGCTGAGGCCGGAAGAGACCACTGTAGAACATCTGGTTCAAGCCCTACCTAGAGCGTGTTTCCAGGACTGTACCCAGACAGCTTTTAAATATCTTCAAAGATGGAGACTCCAAAACATCTTAGGGTAGGGTACACTGCTCAGTCACACTTGAAAAACATGCTTCCTGATGTTCAGGGAGAGCCTCCTGTGTTTCAGTGTGTGCCCAATGCTTCTGGTCCTGATGAAAAGCCAGTAATGAGTATGCCAACTCCTGACTTATTTGATACACTGAACACGTAAACTTTCAGCTTCCTTCTGATTGTTTACAGATGTGACAGGATCAGCAAAGAAGTAAAAATTAACTAGTAACCCAGAAACACAAAGATTGATAAAATATTAAAGTGAAAAAACAGTCTTCTGTTTCACTTGGAAATCCTGAATCAGCACTGCAGGTAAATTACTTGAAAGTGATTACAAATGTTACTTCTTAGAGTACTTTGTGAGGACTTTGTAAATACTCTAAGTACTACAACTTATTATCAATTTAAGTATTCCAGTTAAGGCAAAACCAACTCTTCATGTTCATATGGCTGTGATTTCTGTTATTTGACTCATATTTCAAATAATTAAACCCACAGTTTTCCCCATTCTCTCATCTTCCATTCTGGAATTTCATTTTCTGCGGCATTCAGCAGCAATAATAAAAACTGAATTCATCCTTCCATGGTATACCAAATCTAAACAATCTCTTTAATTTTTGTAATAAAGAGATCACATGGTTCACACCTTTTTCTTCCCATCTCATTATTTTTATGCCTCTTCACAGTGTTCCATCCTGAAAAAAGATACTACCTTCTCAAAACACATCAGTGCCAAAGGAAACAAAAATATGATAAAATTACTGTGCTTGTTGTCATCAGCCTCTTCTGTAACTATCATCATTACCTTTTCCTTTGAGCACCACAAAAACAAATTTTTCTATCAGGTGGCACAACCACTGTAACAAAAATACCACAGATCTAATGAGAACACCTTTCATTCTTTTTCAAGGAACATTTATAAATAAAGACACATCTTGACTAAGATGGGAACATGCATTTGACTTTCACAGTACAATCATCAAATAGAAGATGTTTAACCTTCAAAAAATGGATATAAGAAAATTATAGGCTACATTATTGTAGCCTAGAATAATTCTACCAAGAAGGAAGGGTATACCTTTATGATATATACCTCATCCTACAATTAATAGTTTCCAGTTTAAGGAAGTAGAAACAGTAACACTCACAGAAATTAAAATTAATTACCTTGGCTAGCTCAATCTTTAACTCTTCTTTTTCTTCTTCAGAAATCATATTGGTGAAATCAACATCAGTGACTACATCTTCATCTGTTTCATGGAATGACTGAGTTTCCAACAGGCCTTAAATGTTAAAAGGTCAAGAGAACCATTATTAATTATTTCAATTATTGTATTGGCCTCCCCTAAAATCTAAGAAAGACATAAAATCACCCACTAGGAAAAAAAAAACTAAAAGCAAAGGAAAAACAACCTTTTCCTCCTACAATCATTTGCATTCTGCTTCACTTCTGAAAGGTTTTGGAAATATCAGAGGGTAATGTCTGCACAGGAGTAATTTAATACGTGTAAGCACCACTCATTCCCAGAAATCAATCACCTTGGACCCTACTAATCAGGGATTTTCTTGCTTCTAACAATACAGAAGAAAAAAAGAAAGGTTTTTCTTCAAAATAAGAAGGCTGGCTAATGTGTATCACTGTTTCAAAGAGTAGCAATAGTACACTGAAGAACAGAGGAAGTATAGCCAAGTTTTCTATAAAAGTACCTCTGATTGCAGCAATTTGAAACCTTACAGATGCACACAGTTTGCAGAAGCAAATGCCACACCTATTGTTTGAATTTTCTGAATGTTAATGAGAAGCATTCCTTGATTGCTCAATCTAAACCTGTGAAGGGGAGACAAATACACTGGACCTCATTACTTTTCTTCTGCATGCCCAAGAACAGGGTCAGTATCTGCAATAAGCAAGGTAAGTGCATACATAAATGCTTCCAAGACCTGGGCCTTCCTGGCATAATAGGTACTGATGAAACAAAATATTTCCTATCTCCCAATCATTCAATGAAGAGAAGATTGATGAGGCTCCAGCCACTAAGAGTCTCTCATTCTTTACAGTCCGCAGAGAAAACAATACAATGAGATAACAGAAAACATTCTGGTTACTTTGGAACTTATTTTAAAATTCTAGATCTTCTTCTGTTGTAGAAGAAAAATCCCCTCCAGGTTACACCTGGGACAGCACTTTTCCCTTTATTTCAGTTCCCTAGCAGGTAATCAGCCATCTCTGCCGACTCCTGACACCTGTATACTGGTTAATATGGAAGAGAGAACAGTTTCTTTCCTAGCTCCACAGAGGCCTGTATACTTTATTATAAAGAGATTAAAATACAGCTTAGTTAAGTTTGGGCATTAAAGAACATAGGTTACAAGAAACAAATCTGTTGAAATCAAGTACTTTACATTTTCATGCAGGAAATTAAATTCCCTCCAGTATTCTGCCATTTCCTTCACCTAGAGTTCCCCAGTGTACCTGGATTTCCTTCTATTTAGCAGAGCAGAACTGATTCAATTCATACCATCAACTTCCCTGCAGAACACAATGGAGTGTATTCAGCCTTGTTAATTACAATCTTCCCTGAGTGGGAAGATAAAGAGCAGCAACACAGTGCTGAACCCCTGCATGGCACCATATGCAGAAATATATCACCACCTTAAGCACAAAACCTTTTAAAAACATGAAAGCATATAGAAACAGTTGATATCTTAGCTATTACCCAAAAAGCAGCAAGCAGCTTGCCAGGAAAACCTAGATTGCTGAAGTCAAAAGAAAAGCATATTTATTCAGTAGGAACACTCCCAAATCACCTTTATTAACACCCCTACATCTCTACACACAATTGTTATTTGGTATTTGTTTGAGAATTAATAGTGTTGCTATGGGATTCAAGCTAAACTTAGTCTGCAGAGTCTTGAAATCAGTCTATTTTTTTATGGATGGAGGAGCAGTGGTACAGGGCAGCTGTTGGAAATGCTGGGAAGGATCTAAGAGGCAAGAGGGTTGAAAACCCTTAAGGGAAGCCTTGGGATAGAGGTTGAGATGAGGTGATTTTGGAGCAACTGATCCTTAAGCCAAATAGAAGTCAGATCTGTGCTCAAGGGACAACATTACTTTGGGAATGGCTAGGTAAGAGATGGAAGCCAACCTGGACAAAATCACCAGAAACAACTGAATAATATTTAACACTAGACCCAATGGTCAAGTTTAAACTTCGAGATGGGAGTGAAATTACAATCCATTCCAAAACAGCAAATACACGTCAATCTTTTCTATGATCCTCTGCAAACTCAATCAGTTCCTCTCCCAATTTTTGTCCTTTGCTTCTTGTTTAAGTCCTCTAAAATCAAGTCTGATCCTTCAGTCTCTACCTTCTTGTTCAAACCACCAGAGTCCTCCCTAATGGTCACTGTCCTTCCGCTAAGGTTTACTTTCGTCATCTCACAGTTCCAGTCTGAGCATCTCTCCAGCATACTGTGGGTCACAGCTTTCCATAGGCTGAGAATACTTAGATTCTAGCAGAAGCAATAGCAGGGAGCTTACAGTTAGGACATTAAATAATGGAGCGCAACAGAGGTCAGTACCCATCAGCTCAGACTTGTACTGGAGTTACAGCTCTCATCAGCCCAGATGTGCTGATATCCTAACACATTGCTTTGGAGCCTTGAGCTAGGGCTGCTGCTCTGGATCACAGGATCTATTGCTCAGGATTTGTGGGTGTCTCGGCAGGGTGTGACACTGCAAGGCCAGCAGAACAGTTCTTCCAGTTGCTGGTTTCTCTCTCTAGATACTGTCAACTCTCACACTTTAGTCTCCATACTGAAGGAAGTTCCGTGATTCCCTGAGCATGCAGGAGACAGAGCAGCCTAGCACCCTCCAGTACAACTGAAGGGAATTCATTTAAGCCCACCTACAAGTTCTGTTCTTGTACAGTTTCCAAGTCCTGGGTGTGCATGGAATAGAAGCACAGAATCATAGAAAATACTGAGTTGGAAGAGACCCACAAGAATCATCAAAGCCCAGTTTCTGGCCCTGCACAAGCCAACCCCAAGAATCATACCATGCGTTTGAGGGGACTGCCCAAGCACTTCATGAACTGTCAGGCTTGGTGCTGTGACCACTTCCCTGGGGAACCTCTTTTGTGTCCAACTACCCTCTGGGCGAAGAACTTTTCCTTAATACCCAAGCTGAACCTCCCCTGAAACAAGTTCAGGCTGTTCCCTCAGGTCCTGTCACTGGTCACGAGAGAAGAGATCAGTGCCAGCCTCTACACCTCCTCTCACGAGAAAGTTGTAGACTGCTATGAGGTCTCCTCTCAGTATTGAAGAAGACTGAGGTATTTTCCTCTCCTGCCCAGCTATATGACCCAACAACATGCAGGAATGGCTCTGGGAAAAGACATAAAGATGCATAGGTATTAGTTATGAGCCATGAAGGCTTGATCACTCTGGGAAGGGAGTTGTACAAGGAGCTGAGTTGTTTTCAAGACTCACAGAAAGCCATTGGTAGCAGAAAAAGAAGTTTGCTTTAAGTTGCATTCCCTCTTCTTTTACCCACTCCTCCCAGAAATGCTGAAGATCATGCCTTGTTTCCAGCTTGAGACAGATCTGAAAAAACTGGAATTGTGATTAAATTGTTATTAAATTGTTCAGATATAGAGCTTCTACTTTTTCAGAATTGCACTAATATCCAGGTGTGGAATTGGAAATTAACTTTCTGTCCTTTTTGAAGAGCAATCCAGTTGTTGGGTGGGTGAACAGCCTTTGCTTTACCCTACAGTATAGACGTTACAAGCTTCCCTGAATGAATTAGGGGCTCATCCAGTAGATTACCAGTCATTTACAAGAACCTATGGCATTGCTGATGACCAACGCTTATCTCTTATGTACCTTTTATGTCCTTTACTAACAGAACAGTATTTTTGGCACTGACCTCCATATACCAATCTAAGCACAGGTTTCCCAAGTTTCATTTAAGCAGTCCACTAACAGGTAAGGCATGAGGATAGAGCCTAGACACTATTGCTAACTAACATCCGTTTTCTTCTCCCACCATATCTTATACAGATTAAGTTAATTCTGTTGCTCCTGAATTTAATTTCAGTTGCTGTGCCTGCCCAGCAGTTCTATTACACTAAAAAAAAAAAAAAAAATCACACAAGAGGCATCAGTGGAGCAGAAACTGTCCTAGAACCTATTCCTTGAACTTCCCCTCCCTCACTCTCCATGGTCAACTAAGGAGTTCTCATTACCTATCCCCTTCTCTCCACTTCCATTTGCAATGAAGCTCAATTCAGAGCTCAATCAATCAATCAATCAATCAACAATTAGCTCTGGGATATGCTGTCACAAGACTCTGCCCAGAGACAGATGCAAGACCCAGACCACCTCCCTCATTATCTCTTCCAGATAGCCTCTTCTTGTGGCATAGGATTACTGGAGACAAGACTGCAGGTCCTATGGTCTCATACAGCCTCCTGTTGCTACAGCAAATTACACTAATAATATACTCATGCGTAACTCATTTATCCTCCACAAACAGGCAAACTAGTGATTCTCTGGACATATGTTACTTCAAAATATCAAAAAGCCCCTCCCCCATAAAACGTGGGAAATCATATAGTAGGTTTGAATCAATGCAAAATGCTGTTTGGCTTCTACTTTAAAGGAAGTTTTAGTATTTACTGTCACATATAATTAAATAAAATATGAATGAAACGTTAAAACTATGGGATTACCAGTAATTAGGAACTGCAAGTCATACAGAAAGATCCAAGATGAAACAAATGAGCAGAAAACCCTTTGTATTAGGAGATTTATATAGAAAGAAGTAGGAGGTGGATAGCTGGGGGAACACGTTTATTGTGTTCTGAAAGATTCATATAACAAGATAATAGAATAACCATGCAAGTAGTTCCAGTTTGCTGAAATGGGCATTTTGAGTTTTCTCCCAAAGAAAACTCTTCATGGTAGTTGTGGCTAAGACTAGTGACCCTAATTCTACAGCCTGCTGCTAAATCTGATTTAATGCAAGAAACTGCTTCAGCACTGATCAATACCTGTGCATATGTTTGCCAGTAGAATTGCAGGAATGACAAATTTAATAAACCACTTAGAATCTAGAAGATCTTTAACTATTCTGCAAATTTAAAATAACTAATGATAAAGTCCATGACAGATTTTTAGACTTGCTCAGGTATCTAAAGATTAACTACATAAAGATGTTTTTATTAGTGTTTTTTTATGTATTTTCTCTGTAATCATATCAGACCCATGTTCTAGAGCA